CACGTCTGTAGTCCCAGCTACTCCAGAGGCTGACGTGGGAATGTCACTTGATCCTGGGAAGCAGAGGCTGCAGTGGGCTGGGATCATGCCACTGTACTCCAGCCTGGGCGACAGAGCAAGACTCTGTCTCAGACAACAACAAAGAAATCCCTTTATTTTGCAATTGTTTTTTGTTTGTTTGACTTCTTTGGCTTCTTTGGCTTTAACTATATGGTATTTTCTCCTGTTTTCCAATTTTAAGTTTTTATGTAGTTAAATTTATTAATCTTTTTTTTCCAAGGCAAAGTTAAAAATTTATTAATCTTTTAAGAGCTTTGAGTTCCCTCACTCCATGATGAAAACATTATTTGATATAAATATTTAATTTTTGAGATGGGGTCTCACCATATTGTCCAAGCTGGCATTGCACTCATGGGCTCAGGCCATCTTCCTCTCACCACAGCTTCCTAAGTAGCTGGGACTGCAGGCATGTGTCACCACACCAGCTGATTTTTGGTTTTTATGTAGCTATGGCATTTCATCGTGTTGCACAGGCTGGTCTTGAATGCCTGGACTCTAGTGATCTGCCTGCCTTGGCCTCCCAAAGTGCTGGCATTACAGGTGTGAGCCACCATGCCCAGCTAAAAGGTTTTTAAATTAACTGTCAGCAATATATTAAGTTCTCCTGGCCAGCCACGGTAGCTCACACGTGTAATCCTAAGACTTTGGGAAGCTGAGGTGGGAGGGTTGCTTGAGTTTGAAACCAGCCTGAGCAATATAGCAAGACCCCATCTGTACAAAAAATATAATAATAATTAGCTGGGTATGGTGGTGCATGCCTTTAGTCCCAGCTACTTTGGAGGCTGAAGCAGAAGGACCACTTGAGCCCAGGAATTGGAGGTTAGTGAGCTATAATTGTGCCATGTCAGTCCAGCCTGGGCGACAGGGTGAGATGCTGTCTCTAAAAATAAATAAATAAATAAATTCTTCTAGATTCCTCAACATTTTATCATCAAAGCTTTTAGAAATGGCAGTGCAGCGTGTTTCTTTGACTGCTATGTGTCTACTTATTCACTTATTCATCATCTGTTGATGATGTAGCATGCTTGCCTTTAGTAATGACTTAAATAGTTAGAACAGTGGTTCTTCCAGGATGTGAACTCTATGTCTGGGCGATCAACTTCTTCTTTTTTTTTTTAGAGACAGTCTCACTCTGTCACCCAGGCTGAAGTGTAGTGGTGCTGTCATAGCTCACTGCAGCCTCAAACCTCTGCAAGTCATCCTCCTTCTTTGGCCTCCCAAGGTGTTGAGATTACAGTCCTGTGACGCTGCACCTGGCCTGGGGGTAGTGGTGGGGGATCAACTTCTCACTGACATTTAGAAAACTAAATTTTGGCAGAAGAAACATACGTTGATTAAACCAACTGTAACCTAATTATAGGAGTCTGTCTCTGAGGTATGCTTTTGGCATGCAATTACTTCCAACTCCGATGTAACTTTCAAATTCACAGGGCTTAAATCCTGGTTTTTCCTCTGCCTCCAATACCTGACATCATCTTTTCCCTCAAACAAGACTCACATGTAACCTTTTATTCTGACTGTTATTTAGTCAGACACTTTTTCTTAGTCATGTCTTTTTCTAACACCCATTGTTGTTCTGAAGTTGCCACTGGTTCAAAACTATTTCCCTCTCTCCCACTTCTCCACTGAGTCCTACTAATATCTCAGTGTCACTTCCTCAAAGAGGCCTTCTCTTACCTCCAGATTAGATCTGATCCCCTTGCCATGCATGGTTAAGTCCCTGGTACTTACTTCGTTTTCCTTTATTTTTCAGACTTTCATAATTATATTTATGTGGTTACCTGGCATGTCTGCCTCTCATAATCCACTGCATTAATCATCATTTTATTGTCCAAGCCTGATATATAGTATATATTCAGTAAGTATGTGTTGAATGAATGAATGAATGAATTCATGTCTAAGCTCAAATGCCATACTCTCCAAAAAGACATTCCTAATGTTTGTAGCCAGAGTGATGTAAATACCTCATGACCTTGAGGCATTATTGATGGTACCACTAGTTTATTCCATGCAATCAAAGATTCATAAAATTCAACAGGAGTTTAGAGAGGTTAGCTAGCTTCATATTTTAAGTAATGCAATTCATTGAATGAATTTTTAAAAGGATGATCTTGGTTTTATTTGTTTGCTTAGTGATGAAGAATTGCCTTTGGAAGTATCTTGAGCCATCCTTGGACTCTTTGTATGTTTGGAAAATTTTATCATGTTTAGCATCATTATTTTGAGTTTCGTTTTTTTTTTTTTTTTTGAGATGGAGTCTTGCTCTGTCGCCCAGGCTGGAGTGCAATGCCATGATCTCAGCTCACAGCAACCTCCGACTCCCTGGTTCAAGCGATTCTCCTGTCTCAGCCTCCTGAGTAGCTGGGATTACAGGTACATGCCACCATGCCCAGCTAATTTTTGTATTTTTAGTAGAGACAGGTTTCACCATGTTGGCCAGGATGGTCTCGATCTCCTGACCTCGTGATCCACCCGCCTCAGCCTCCCAAAGTGCTGGGATTACAGGTGTGAACCACTGTACCCAGCCTCATTCTTTTGATTTTCAAGATTAATTTTGTTCCAAAGGATAAAACAACAAGTCCATCTCTCTACTAAGGATAATCCTTCAGATAGTCAAAGATTGCTCTCTTGCTCAATCAAAACACAGCCTTCCTTCTATTATTGCTTTCATGTTGTGGTTTTCATCTTTCTTCATCGTCCTGATTCACTCTCCTGTGAACTCATTCTAGTTTTTCTTTTTCTTTTCTTCCTTTTTTTTTTTTTTTGAAATGGAGTCTTGCTCTGTAGCCCAGGCTGGAGTGTAGTGGTGTGAACTCGGCTTACTGCAACCTCTGCCTCCTGGGTTCAAGCGATTCTCCTGCCTCAGCCTCCCGAGTAGCTGGAATTACAGGTGCCTACCACCACACTCTGGCTGATTTTTGTATTTTTATTAGAGATGGGGTTTTACCATGTTAGGCTGGTCTCGAACTCCTGACTTCAGGTGATCCACCTGCCTTGGCCTCCCAAAGTGCTGGGATTATAGGCATGAGCCACTGTGTCCGGCCTCATTCTAGTTTTTTAATGTTCTTAATGAAAAACTATTTTTGTTACTGGTACTTTTATTTTTTAAAAGCATGCTGGCCAGGCATGGTGGCTCACGCCTGTAATCCCAGCAGTTTGGGAGGCCAAGGCAGGCAGGTCACCTGAGGCCACGAGTTTGACATCAGCCTGGATAACATGGTGAAACCCTGTCTCTACTAAAAATACAAAAATTAGCTAGGCATGGTGGTGGTGCCTGTAATCCCAGCTACTCAGGAGGCTGAGGCAGGAGAATCGCTTGAACCTTAGAGGCAGAGGTTGCAGTGAGCTAAGATCATGCCTTTGCACTCTAGCCTGAGCACCAAGAGCGAAACTCCATCTCAATAAATAAATAAGTAAAAAATAAAAGCATGCTATTCAAATATCATAAGATACTGTTATAAAACTTACAATCGTTATAAATTCAGGATACTCTGAGAATAAGTTTTTTATAGTTCTTTAAGCTTTTATGTCCAGAAAATTGAAAAGTTAATTTTGATTAAGGAATAAATAACTTTTTCTTGCAGCTGTTGACACTTGTTGGAGGGTCGGGGTAACTTAGATGGCATAATCCAGGCTATACCTTATGCTGTAAGCTTATCTGACTTGCTCTGACCACTGCTATTTGAACTTCAAAGATATTTAAACAAATTAATAAAACATTGTACTCGTTTTGGTGTGAGAAAAAGAGGAACCAACGCTATGCTTAATAATAATAATCAGCTCTTTCCTGGGCTAGGCAAACATGTTTTCATGTGGTTGGTACCAGCCTTTGATGAGGGTATCTTCCTTTATTTTAAAAACAATCATTAGTTTGTCATTATAAACATGACTAAATTGCTAGCAATATCCTTCATAACCAAGCAAGATTTGTCCTCTTTTACAATCCTTTTTATATAATTTATCCTCTATTCCCAGAATATTAAATTCTAAAGATGCTCACAATAAATCTCAAAAGAAGGCAATAAATTCTACAGAAGAAAAAGGAGCAAGCCAGGTGTCGTGGCTCATGCCTGTCACCCCAGCACTTTGGGAGGCCGAGGTGGGTGGATCAGCTGAGATCAGGAGTTTGAGACCAGTCTGGCTAACATGATGAAACACCATCTCTACTAAAAATACAAAAAATTAGTTGGGCCTGGTAGCAGATGCCTGTAATCCCAGCTACTCTGGAGGCTGAGGCAGGAGAATCGCTTCAACCCAGGAGGCGGAGGTTGCAGTGGGCGGAGATCGCCCCATTGCACTCCATCCTGGGCAATAAGAGCAAAAGTCCATCTGGGGGAGGGGGAAAGAACAAATAAAATAGGATTATATAGAAATGAATGAGAGAGGCTTGAGCCCCTTGAGTTCTGAAATGATTTCACTATCTGGCAAATAGTTATCATCATTAAATATTTGCTGAAGGAATGAAAAGTCAAGCATTAGGGATAATTCTACAGTGAGACATACATTATAAACAAAATAGTTACATTTCAATTTCAAAATGTTTGAGAACTCCTTATGAGTTCAACATAGCATTGTAGTTACTAAAAAATACTCAGGGCTGGGCATGTGGCTCACGCTTGTAATCCCAGCACTTTGGGAGGCCGAGGTGGGTGAATCACCTGAGGCTGGAAGTTTGAGACCACATGGAAAAACCCTGTCTCTACTAAAAATACAAAATTAGTCGAGTGTGGTGGTGCATGCCTGTAATCCCAGCTACTCGGGAGGCTGAGGCAGGAGAATCCCTTGAACCTGGGAGGTGGAGGTTGCAGTGAGCCAAGATCACACCATTGCACTCCAGCCTGGGCAACAAGAGCGGGGGCGGGGGAGAAGAAAACTCAGATATTTTCCTAGCATGGTGTAATTCAATCCCTTGTAATTCAAATTGATATATTATAAATTACTTCTTTTCTTTCATGTATCAGGTTGAAAAATTCACTTGGGCAATTTAGGTAGTAGTATTTAAAAGTAGCCCATACATGAGCTATTGGCCCTGGGTAGGGCCATCTGTAATGACATGTTTAAGCAACAAAATGGACAAAAGAACTCTTGGAATGCACCTGGTTGTTCAAAAATAGTAGATAGTTACTTTAAAAAAGACTATGGAATTCAGATTTCTCTTTAAGAATTTTGTTTATTGCAATAGGATTATCAAAGAAAAATTTACAAATTATGAAAAAAAATTTTTTAAAAAGAATATTTTAGCTATTCTTCCTATAAAACTTACCAAGATTTCTTCTTGATCTATACTTTGAGAGCAGAGGAAGTCTTGCTATGTTAACTCAGTAGCTCTGCAGCTTCTAGGTTCTTTCTTATTTGAACAGTATATCCAAAGTATTGTAATTCCTGCATTTCTTGCACATTTGAGTTTATTATTCCATTCCTGTGTTACTATATGACTATATATTATATATATATTATATGTATATATATATATATATTTTTTTTTTGAGACAGAGTCTCACTTTGTCATCCAGGCTGGAATGCAGTGGCCTGATCTTGGCTCACTGTAACCTCTGCATCCCAGGTTCAAGCAATTCTTCTGCCTCAGCCTCCTGAGCAGCTGGCATTACAGGCATGCGCAACCATGCCCAGATAATTTTTGTATATTTAGTAGAGACAGGGTTTCACCATATTGGTCAGGCTGGTCTTGAACTCCTGACATCACGTGATCTGCCCACCTCAGCCTCCCAAAGTGTTGGGATTACAGGCATGAGGCACTGCTCCTGGCCATTTATTATATTAAAAAAATTTTTTCCTAGCCAACAAATGCATGCAGGATGTCAACTGATTTATTATCTTATAACCAAAAATTCAGTATGTATTATCTGCTATGCACTGTTTCAGGCACTGGAATACAACAAGGGGTAAGAAAGAGATAAAATCCCTGTCTTTAAGGAGCTCATATTTTAATGAGAGTTTCTGGTTTTTTCTTTTCTTTCTTTCTTTCTTTTTTTTTTTCGAGACAGGGTCTTGCTCTGTTGCCCAGGCTGGAGTCCAATGGCATGACCTAGGCTCACTGCAACCTCTGCCTCCTGGGTTCAAGAGGTTCTCCTGCCTCAGCCTCAGGAATAGCTGGGATTACAGGTGCCCACCAGCAGGTATTTATAATATGGTTTTCATATACAGTACAGGAGTAGTATGTTACAGAACCTAAAGAAAAAAAAGCATTAGTTGAGGAGTTCAGAAGTGGGTTTATACTGTATGTACTAGGAATTGCCTGTTAAATTAACATTTCAGAAGTAATTTTTTTTTTTTTTTGAGACAGGATCTCACTCTGTCGCCCAGGCTGGAGTGCCGTGGTGCATCTTGGCTCACTGTCACCTCTGCCTCCCGGTTCAAGCAATTCTCCTGCCTCAGCTTCCTGAGTAGCTGAGGTTACAGGCGTGCGCCACCATGCCAGGATAATTTTTGTATTTTTAGTAGAGACGGAGTTTCACCGTGTTGGCCACACTGGTCTTGAACTCCTGACCTCAGGCGATCCACCCGCCTCATTCTCCCAAAATGCTGGATAACAGGCGTGAGCCACCACCCACGGCAGAAGTAACTATTTAAATCTGTATTGTTGACACTGCAGTGAAAGCAGCAAAACTTGTCAGCAGATGATTAAGTTTTATGGTTGATTTTCACACTTTTGTATCTTGGGACCAATATCAAGTTTTTGGGAAAAACATCCTTCCTCTCTCCCCACCTTCTATCATTAAACCCCAGTCTCTGCCTGTTGGTGTTAAGTGTGTCCTTGGGATAAAGGTTTATCATAATCATTCGGTTTTCATTTTCCTCTTAACAATCTGAGAAGAGTTACTTCAGTTTTTTTCTTCATGAGTCTAGAAAGCTCTTAGATTGTTGAATTATTACATATTCCATTCGGAAAAGTCTGCACATCATTCGTTACTTTTTCAATTCCCTAGACCACCAGTTAGTGGAATTATTTCTGGGTGAGTGGAACACCTTTTACAAGCTGCTAGAGGAGGAATGCACCTCCCTAGATTATTGGCTTTCCATCGCCTAGTCTTTTAAAGAAAGCGGCACTGTTCCCACGGAAATTAACAATCATTGAATTCCGAGAGACTTGAAATCTTAAGGCCAAAGTGGAGAAAAAAATTGGATTGTTATGGGCTGGGTTACTATTTGAGAAGGGCAAGTAGGAGTCAGTGAATGGATAGGGTGTTAAAATGGGACTTTATTAAACGATTCATTACAACTGCACAAAAACTAAACCTTTGCTGGTCCCAGAGGATTTTTTTTTTAAACCTTCAAAAACCTGACTTCAAACAAAATTTAGGAAACGTGGGATTAGTATAAATTCAGTCTGCGTGCTTACAAGACCACCTCCTCTGTCACCGAAAGTGAGCAAAGGTGTGAGAATTTTGCAAAAGCAGCTTTCAGAACAATTTTTCAGCGCTCAATGGTGCCCCTAAGAACTTCGGGGGTGGAAAGCACGCCACGCAGCGCAGCCTTCCCGTCGGTTGCTAACCTTTCCCTTTCTCACTTCGCCACTCCCTCTCCGCCACGGCCTCCAGCCGGGGTGCGGTGCGGGGAGGGGGGCGTTTGTTTATGTGACGTCCGCCGTAGTAAGCAGTCCCCGCCCCCGTTTCCCTCTGGCCGCGGCGTTTCCCGCGCCGCGGAGCTTCTCCCCTTAAAAGGACAATAGAGGCCTCGGGAGCGCGCGCGGTCGCCGGGCCTTCTCCCCTTCCCAGCCCGCGACGTGCGCGCGCCCGTATGCAAATAAGTTCGATTCAAGAGAATTTTGTGCCGGGAGCCGCGCGTGCGCAGAAGGAAAGCGGAATCTACACCTTCCCGGCCAGCGGTAGCAACTGCCGAACTGCAGGAGACAATCTTTCTAGACAAGGCAGTTGAGGAGGAGGGAGCGCTTGAGGGAGACTGGCCTGGCGTGCACTCCGCACCTCAGGACGTTGTTGCGCGTGGAACGGCTGCTTTTGGAAGGTTAGTGACTCTAACTATGCCTTTAGTGCAAAACTGTCTCACGAGGCTTTGATTTCAGAGTGGTTTTTTTTTTCCTCTCTTTTCACCTCCACCCACCTCCCCCCCGTCTTTCCACAAACACAGGAAGTTTTGTCTTGGAGGTGGCATTGTTGGGAGCGCTGTTTTCGTGTTCTTCAGACCCCAGGTTCTTTGGTACGCGCGTGTTTAGTGTGTATTTTTTAATTGGGGAGAGTATTTGAGGCAAACCGAAAGTCTCGGGGCGGGGGAAGTGACTGGAGCCTGGGCATAATCGATGAGTCGCCGGAGTTGAGGGATACACGTTGAAGGTGACAATGACTTTTCTCCACCGCAGTGTTCTCTCGCGGAAAGGAGCCCGGCGGCCGAAAGGCCTGAGAGGAAAGCGACTCGCTGGCCACCGCACAGCGGCCGGGGTCGGTGCGTCCGCGTGGGCGCCAGGCGCGGGCAGGGTCGGGCGCCCTTGTGAAACCTCGTGGTTAGTTGACTTCAGCCCCCAGACGAGGGTGGACAATAAACGCCATTCGCTCGGAAATTTAAGTTGCCATCGGCTTCCGAGCTGGCGGTTGAGGGGCTTTAAATCGGCCTTTGGGGGTCAGTACTGGGCTCTGCCGGAGCGCACGCGGCGTGGCGTTGTTTGCTCAACTCCGGAGGGATGCGGATGCGACAATGAGAGCAACACGCGGTCGCTTAAAAACAGCCGGTCTTCCACTCGCCTACCCACCTCGGACCGCGCCCAAGCGCGTCTGGTGTCCGGGGTGCCTTCAGAGCCCAAAGTTTTGCTCCCCGTGCGTTCACCTGTAGCGTAGGTGTGTGGGCGCCACGGCGAGGGCTTCCCGTTTGTGGGCGGCCGTCCGCGCTGTAAGATGGCCAGGGAAGCCAACTTGGCCGGGGACGGAGGCGGCGGTGTTGTGTGCGCCGCAGGAGTCAGTGAACTCCGTTGGGCACTGCTTTTTGTGTTCTACGTGACAGACCACGTGCTTCGGGCGCGACCCTGGTCCTGGTCCGAATGTCCAGCCCCGCGTGAGCCGTGGGATGCGGCCGCCGTCGGGCAGGTCCAGCCGGCAGGACAATGTGGTTTGCCGATGATGGCGTCTTGCCAGTTTAAAAAGCAGAGTGAAAGTCGCCAACTCCGCCTGTGTGGGGCGGGTATTCCGGGCGTTTCTCATCAAGGACACTGCAAAACTTTGATTAAATGGGGCCGCTCTCGAGGGGAAGAGCGGGGGGGGGGGCTAGGTTCTGGACTCCTAGGGGCGCCGGGTCCGGACCCCTCTCTGGGGTGATCGTCCAGTGTCCGGCCCCTGCGAAACGCGCCTACATCCCTGATGCTGCACGTAGGCAGCGCCCGGCTGGACAGAAAACAAAGGGCTGCATGTGCCCGTGCGGGCCCCCGGCGCTTGGGGGCAGCCGCCGGGGCTGAGGGCCGTGCGGGTCCGGGCCCCCAAAGTTCGGGCGAGTTTCAGGAGGGGCTTTTGTTCCTCAGCCCCCTCGTGGGGAAACTTTGGCGGCGCTACTTGTGCGAGGTGCCATGCTGGTGCGTAGGGAGACGGCGTGCTTTCCCGCTCCCGGCGCGCGAGCGGGCAAGGGAGGCGGCAGTGCCCGGCGTTTCAGTTCCGGCGCCGGGGACCGCGACAGCCGAGGGGTTCGGAGACTGTGGCCCGGACTCCTCGGCCCGTTTCTCTTGGCCCGAGAGCTTGTGTCTGGGAGATCTGTGGGTTCGCCTTTGAAGTCGAACTGTTGCCATGTTTGAATTACGTCAGGGCAAAGCCATGAGGAGGAACAAGCCCCGGCAGCCCTGCGTGCGGGAGGCGCGGCCTGCGGGAGGCGCCGGGCCCGGCGGGCGCGGGGCCCGTTGTTCCGGCGCAGGTGAGGGAGGCTGCGGCGAGCGACGCAGTTCACCTCCCGTTGCCCTCGCTCTCGCCCTTGCCCTCGCCCTGGCGAGCGGCCCCCGCAGGAACTTTCCTCTCGACGCGAGATGTCTTATTTACCAACAAATCCATCAGGGAGCATTCTTATTTGCGGGCTCGGCGTCTCTCTTGGCGGTCACCGGAGTACCCGAGGGGGAGGCGCGGTTTACGGAAGGTGGGGACCCTAGGGCCCTGGGAAGAGCTGGGAGGCATTTTATTGCTTTCGGGGAAACGGGCGAGGACAGCGAGCACCTCCTCCCCCGCCGAGCTGTGGCCCGCAAGTCCAGGGGACCCAGCCCCGACGACGGCCGAAAAACCACCCTGGGGAAGTTCTGGGGCTCTCAGTTGCTCTACTAAGGGAAGTGAGTACTGTGGGCGAATTGTGTGTGCGGCCGGTTTCTTTGTGTGTTTCTGGGGGGTGGGGGATCGGGGAGGGGCAAGGTTTGTTTTGGTGTGGGGGGAGTTGGTTTCTTGGGGTGGTAGGGCGGTGCAGCTTGTTCTGGTAACTGTGACCCTAGTCAGTTTCTTTGTTTTTATTTTCTTCCTTTAACCTTCCATTACTTCAGGCATTCGGAAGATTAGGAATTACTGTTTAAACAGGGACCGTATCCGAGGCAGTTTTACCCCAGCAATCCTTTCTCCCCTTCTTTACTTTGTCCTAAGGAGGGTTAAGAAAAGCTTTTCTTTTTCTTTTAATAATTTAAAAATGAATTTGACCTTGTTATTCAGAGTACAGTGAAAGCACCTGCTTTTGAACTGGAGTTTGCCAGACTTGAAGAGTCTTTTAATATTTTATGTTGCAAAATTGAACATGTTTAGTTTTCCAATCTAAAAGTCTGGGAGTTTGTTTTTGGTGAGTTCCTGAGAAACCCCGATGGCATTTAAAGTATTTATGTAGTGATTTTGGGAAGGGGGATCTTTTTTAGCTGAAAGGTATGCGTGACTCAGTGTTTGGTGGTTATTGACTGCCTTATCTTAGGACGACCTTGAAGAAGCAAGTATTTAGGGAGTTGGGCCTTTTGGAAACGTTGTAAAGAGGCTGGGGAGGAAGCTGCTCAGGAAGATGACACAGGGTAACGGCTAGCTTCTTCCCAGTTCCCGTGAACTGGGGTTGACCTTCTGGTTACCCCTACTAGATTTTTCTTTTCAAGCTAACTTTTTTTGTGTGTGTGGCCCCAGGCATAGCTCAGAAATTATGCTGGGTTGACACATGGATGCTTCTTTGGTATTTGGGGTTTGCCTGTAGTCTAGACATCTGATAGGCACCACCATATCTGTTGCTTCTTTCCTGATTTCTTCTGCATTTGAATCATGTTTAAGCCTTAGAATCTAAGTGATTATTACTAGGAAATAATGCCCTTAGATACCCTGCCTCCACACACCAAAAAAATCGATACTAGTTGAAATACATTTTTTTCTTTTAATTATTTTGGTATTAATAAACATATTTCCCCAAGTTTTGGTTGACCGAATTACAATACCAAAAGGCAATCAATATTAGTACATTTCTTTAGTAAATAGAAAGAGCCTGTTAAGAAAATGAAAAACTTTGGATTTAATAACTTTGGCTTTCCTTTGGCATCTGTTTCTCTGGGTCATGTATTTAAAATGCATATGAGGTGCTTTGCAAATACACTGAGATTGTTTGAGTTGTTTTTCATAATTAGCATTTCATAGTTATGCTTTGGCTAGAATTTCCATTTCCTGGCAGATTTCACGTACATATAGAGCTTGATGGTTTTTGTTTTAATAACTAGAAGTTGTAAAACAGATTTGGATTACCAAGCGAATGAGTTTAGGGTGGGAAAGACCCACAGACAAGGTCTCTACTGCCTTCTGCTTGTATTGCTTTTGTGGGAGGTTGGAGATACGAAGTTCAGTAGGTAGAATATTCTAGATCACTGGTGGACAGCAGGCCCCAAGTCTGTCTGTCCTTGCACAGTATTCTTAATTTTGTATATCTGGAACATGAATGGTCAGTTTTTTTTTTTTCCCCCCCAGAGTGGTTATCAAGTCCTGGGAAATCCTGACTCACAGGGCTCAAACTCAAACATATTTATGTCAGAGAAGCAATTTAAGAACCATTTTACATGTAAAATAAATGCTTTTCACTGGGGAAAGAGTAAACTTATTTTAAATCTGAACCAACTACACAAGGCCCTTATTGAGGACAAATTAATCAGTTTACCATGCCAGGCACATAGTAGGTTGCTTTAAAAGTATGTCATTTTCTTTTTTTCTTAAGATGCGATAGGAATATAATTGGCTGAGAAGAAAGGGAATGCATGTATTGAGGCATGAAGTTTGTTGTTCAGAATAACCTAGTAATGCTTAGGTTTCAAAGTTGTGATCATCTGATAGTTACTTTGTGACCAGTTTTTTAATCTAAAATGGTAGTAATAGCTATTGTAAATACGTTGTAAATACTTAAGCAGGTGACATGATTGATAAATATTAGCTGCTGCTGTCCTCACAACACTGGGAAATAAACATTTTACAGAAGATAAAACTGAGGCCTGGATCAGTTATTGTTTCTGGGGAAACATTCAGTAAATTTTTAGTGGAAACAATGAGTGTCTTTGGTGCCCTTCCTTACCTTATGAAACCAGTTCTGGGAAGACACTACCCTTGACTCTTGGTTGTCTTGTCAGTTCTGATTCAACCATTTTACATTAGAAAGTCCTGTGGAAACCTGGAAAATGTCATTTTTATTTCTTCCTGATTTGCCTTGTCCACAAGATTGTCCTGTATTTCCCACACTTAGTTTTGATTTTGGGGGTGTTACAAATTGAGAATATTTCATTGTCTTTTGTTTCTCCAGGTTTTAAATTAAATCTGCAATTAGGATTTTTCTGTGTTATAGAAATAATCTGGAAATGCATCTAGTCCAAAAAAGGGAGTTTGTAGTTTGTTTTCAAGGTAGGGAGGTTTTCGCTTTGCCTCAGAAATACTAATGTCACAGGCACATTGCTATTACATATTCAAGTATGAACGTTACAGTTAAACTAGAAGACTTTATTTCTAGCTTTGTATTTAGTTGTTTTCTACCTAAGTTTGATTTGACTTAATATTATTTTAATTTGGTGAATGTTAACTGTACTGAGTTGAAGTAGCTCTTATTTCTTACTTCTCCCCACACTAGCCTAATTTCCTCCCCCCTACTTCTGCTGGAAATAAGCAAGAAACATTTTTTTCTATGGCTTTTAAACATCACAGTTTTTTTTTTTTTTTCCTACAAAAGTCTATAGACCACATGTTAAAGACAAATGACCCCTTTTTGAAAACTTTTAAAATATTTCTATGATCAATAGCATAAACAGTGACACCTTACGGCTTTGTTGTAGACACTGTTTCCCATTCCATGCCCTTAAATATACTGTTTATATTCACCTTGGCTGTCCCACTCTTTGAGTTGTTAGCAAAATCTACCTGTTTCTGTGTACTGTGTACAGCTAGCACCTGGTTGTAATACAAGACTTAGATTCTGCTCTGCAGCGGTTTACCATTGAGTAGAGGAGATAATGCATTAACAATTAGGTGAAATCTTATGTGGTAGGTGTTCTAATAAAGGTGTGGAAGGGTTTTGTAAAAGAAGTAATTCTTAAAAGAATTTCCCAGGTGAAGGGGATGGAAGGTAAGCCATCTCAGACAGAAATAACAGCCTGAATAGAGGATGGCTGGTTATTAAAGTTGGTTTGACACTCTTAGAATTTCAGAATTCCAGGTTGGGAGCAGCTGGTAGGCCGAGGCAGATCCTGAAAAGCTTTGAATTCCTTGCCAAGGAGTTTAGATACTATCGCGAAGCCAGTGTTGGTACTTTGCAAGGGAAGATTAATAGCTGAACTTTAGGAAGATGTTTAAAGGATGTAGGGAAGTCAGTTACAAGGTTCTGACAGGAGTTCACGCACCATCATGAGGAACAAATGGGCAGTGGGGAGGGAGGTGAAGGAAGAAGCATAATCTCTAAGGATTTCACAATAAATTTGGTGGAGGGCCATGCAGAGGGTGAAGGGAGAGCTCAGTTGGCTTCCAAGTTGTTTTTGTATGACTGGAACTGTGGATGATAATAAAGATAGGTAAATAGTGGAAGAGCAGATTGGAGGGAAGATGTATATAATCAGTTCAGGGGATTTAAAGGTTGGAATGGGTTGGTGGTCAGTTGGCCATATTTATCTTAGAGCTAAGGGGAAAGTTTAGATCAGGACATGAGTAATATTGGGACATTACCAGTAAGATTGTTAGTAACTTCCTGAGAGTGGATTGCCCAAAGACAGAAAGCAAAATGAAACCTGAAATATGAGAGGAAAAAAAGAAGAAAGATTTGTGAATAAAAAGAATCGTCAGAGCTGAGTACATACTTTGTGCCAGTCCTTGTGTTGACGCTTTACAGATACTATTCAGGAGATTGGGATTTGTTATTATAATAATAATTATTATTATTTGAGATGAAGTTTCACTCTTGTTGCCCAAGCTGGAGTGCAATGGTGTGATCTCGGCTCACTGCAACCTCGGTCTCTCAGGTTCAAGCGATTCTCCTGCCTCAGCCTCCTGAGTAGCTGGGATTACAGGTGCCCACCACCACACCTGGGTAATTTTTTTGTATTTTTAGTAGAGACAGGGTTTCACCATGTTGGCCAGGCTGGATTCGAACTCCTGACCTCAGGTAATCTACCCGCCTCGGCCTCCCAAAGTGCTGGGATTACAGGTATGAGCTACTGTGCCCGGCCTGTCATTATTTTATAGATAAGGAAACAGGATTAGAGAGGTTAAGGAACTTCCCTGAGGTTTAGGTCAAATCAGGTGTGTGTACTACCATGTATCAATTTTCTTAACATTTTTGTCAAGTTTGAAAATGGGAGAATAGCTTCATAGAAGAGTATATGGGCCCATTTCATGACCTTAAAGTCTCCCTGAATGGTTAAGTTCATCTTTTCCCACAGACCTGGGCTTAAAAGAAAATCTTTAATAATCAGAATTTTACTTTCAATTAAGTTTGTTGTATATATCTTTGGATAGATAGCATTTATTTTTCTGTAATGTGCAAGTCTTATAAATTCAAGGACATAAACTACACATACATTGATATTTTCATACCCTGGCTTCACAGCATCCCTGGAAAGTAGACATGATGAGATTTTATGTCAATATTACAGAAGGACAAATAAAATTAGCAGT